TAACACAAGGTCATCTGCATATTTCACAGTTTGAATAATTTGCCCTCCTAATTTGAAGTCTCCGAGTCCATCCAGAGCTTCCTTGGTAAGGCATTTGCTGTACAAGTTGAACAGAATTGGTGATAAACAGCATCCTTGTCGGAACTCCTCTTCCAATCTGCACATCTGTCCAGTCATACTCTAACTTTCTGATCCATGTACAATTTGCTAATCAATCTTCTTTCATGCCAATCGATACCTGTTTCTTTTAGGATCTGCATTAATTTGGTCCAGTTTACCCGGTCAAATGCCTTCTGCCAGTCTATGAAGCAAACACACAGTTCTTCATCTATCTCCAAAGTTCGTTCCGCTATAATTCTCATCATCCCAATTGCATCCCTGGTTCCTTTTCCTCTTCTAAATCCAAACTGATCTTCTCCAAGTACATCCTCTATTTTCCTTTCAATTCTTCTTTTAAGTATCTTTGCTATTATCTTTTCTGTATGTGCAATAAAGCTTATTGTGCAATGTTCGCTGCATTTTGTAGCTTTTGTCTTTTTCTTAAAGGCAATCATTTTAACTTCTGTAAAGTCCTTGGGCCACTATCCAATTTCATATATGGTGTTCATTAGTTTTGTCAGTGTTTTCAAACCACGTTCTCCCAGTAACTTGAGCACATCTCCAGGTACATCATCATCTCCTGTAGCCTTTCCCTTCCTCATTTCCTTGATAGCTTTTACCACCTCACTTTGCAAAATATATGGTCCTTTCTTGTCTGTATGTACTTCTTCAGGTTCCACTTCCAGGGTTTCTGGTCGATTAGGTCGATCATATAGTTCTGAAATATAATTTTCCCAAATTTTCAGCACTTGCCTCTGATCTACTATTCTATTCCCCTGGGAGTCTTCGATGCCAACATTTTGAATCCCATGATTCTCTTTCCATCCTAGTTCTTTTGTCTTCATGTACATCAAATCATAACGGCCTGTTCTTTGAAATTCCATAATCTCATTACATATCTTCTCAAGATATTCCTTTTTGGCCCTGTCCGTGGCTCTTTTCAATTCATTCCTCAGTCTCCTGTATTTCCTCCTGCCTTCTTCATTGTTGACATTCTTCCATTTCCTTCGCTCCTCCATTTTACTCATCATCTCCTGTGTAACCCATGGTTTCCTTGCTATCTTCTCAAATTCAATTACCAAATCACTGATAGTATCTAACATGCATTCTTTTATATCGTTCCACTGCGCTTCAGCATTTCCGCTTTCACCTTCAATTGCACCGAGTTTCTCTTCTAGAGTCTCTTGCACGCTTTGTCTTTGAGCATATAACTTCTCCAAATCCCATCTGGGTCTGCGCTTTCGAAATCCTATAATTTTCTTCAACCTGGTTCGGAACTTGGCAACCAGCAAGTTGTGGTCAGAGTCAATGTCTGCCCCAGGAAGCGTCTTCACATCCTTCACACTGTTTCTGAATCGATGTTTCACAAGGATGTAGTCCAGCTGATGCCTCTTCCAATCCCCAGGTGCCTTCCATGTGTAAATTCTTCTCTTTGGCTTCTTGAACCAAGTGTTGGTAACAATCAATCCATTTCGTTCACAAAAGTCAATAAGCATTTGACCTCTGTGATTCCGTCTTCCTAGTCCATGTGATCCAACAATATTCTGATATGGTTCATCTCCAACAATGCTGTTCCAGTCTCCCAATATGATGCTGTTTGTGTCTCCTCTTCCATCTTCCTGAAGAATTTCTTCAATTGTGTCATACACTTTTTCCACTTCATCATCTTCATACTCTGATGTTGGCATGTACACTTGTATAATCAGTATATCTACCGGTTCCGCCTTTAACTTCAGAGCAATAATTCTGTCATTACAAGCAATCTTCTTAACAACACTCCTCACTACACTTTTATGCACCACTATTGCCACACCTCTTTCAGCCCGTTCACCTCCGGAATAATACACTGTATAATCACCGCTTCTTATTTCACCTTGTCCTTTCCACCGCACTTCGCTGACACCTAGCACAGACACTTCATTCTTCTGCATTTCCGTTTTCAAATTCTCCAATTTTCCTGCTTGATTCAAGGTCCTGACATTCCATGTTCCAATCTTGTATCCATGCTGTTTCTTCTGATCTTCGCACTTTTTCTTGTTGTAACGCCTGCATGACATTTCCTCTAGAAACACTCCCCCCCGGAGATCCGATTGGGGGAGTAGTTTACCTCTGGATTGGTTTGTCTCCAGAGGAAACATCTCGCATACATGGTATCTCTGTTTTTGGAAAGAGACTATCCAGGAAAAGTGATAATGTGGTAGTTTGATGTAATCATTAGTAAGATAATTGTCTGCCCCTGATAACTATGAGTCTGTCAGTGAACAAAAGCATGTGCTTTTTCGAGAACACATTGGGGTATACAGAGTGTGGGAAAGGGCAAAATTTTAGATTGGTGAGACTGTGCAAGTTAAGCCAGGTGTTGTTGAATGATGGCATGCAAATCCCAGAGACCAGTTGAATATGTATAGACTGTATAACAAAGTAGAGCAGTCTGAACTTAAGGGGATGTTGCCTGCAGCATCTCCAATATACAAGCACTGGGATTCAGGGATATGGAAGGATGGAAGTACTATGGAGCCCTTTGTTTTCAGGGTGAAATTGGAGATCTATCCATAGCTGTTTTCATGGTGTGGAAGTCAAGTTGCCTCCTTTTGTTGATTGTGACATTGTTCACGCAGTAGCAAATCTGTTGTGATGGAGCATGATTGACAATGAATGTTGCATGCACTGAACTGCTGCAACGTGATTTACAAAATAACGCCATAATTTCTTTAGAATTTTAGGTTATTTCAATGATGTTTATGAAGACCGAACTTTTTATGACATTTCAGAGTTACTGTATTGTAATGAATACTGAGACACACCATATGTAGCAAGAGCTACAGCTGTAGACTAATCGCTGAATAATCTTTGCCTGATGGACATAGTCACATGCATTTGTGCATTGGCATTGCTACAATATTAGATAAGTTGAAGGTATTAGAATGAATGAATACAGACAGTTTACTGATTGCAGGTTGGCGATCTAGAAGAATTGAAAGCAATTACTCTAGCTTTTTGTAAAGACAGGAAGTCTCCGCTGCTGATAGGGTCAGTCAAGTCAAACATTGGGCACACTGAAGGGGCATCAGGTCTTTGTGCTATCATCAAAGTCATCATTAGTATGGAGACTGGCTTCATACCCCCAAATCTTCACTACAACAACCCCAGAGAGGGAGTTGAATCACTTATGAATGGACAGCTGAAGGTGAATATTGATATCACTGCAGAGTTTAAAAGTTTGTTATATATCTGATACTATCACTGCATTCATTTAACCGTTTCAGTGCTGTGGATGCAATGGTAGGGGCACACATAGACATGTGCTTTGCTTCATATATAATGACATGTGTAACATTGACTCTGAGTTTGAGGAATTCCTCAAAGCACTTACAACACTTGCTGCTTGATTCTGTACTTTGTGGCTAACATATCTATAAACTAATAATTGTGCAATTTACTGGTCTTTTTCTTTACATAGTTCCGTCATGTATAAATTTTACTATGTTGATATTTCCATATATGATTTTACATGCCACTGACGTGCTTGTAAAATTTGAAATATATTTTGTTGCTTGTTAAAATTATTGTTATAATATTATTACTGCCAGGAAGAGATTCTTAATTCTATATTATTTAGGCTCATGAGTGTTTGGGTAAAGCTACAGCCTTGTTTAGGCAGTTCAATTTGTGATCCTCAGAGGAATGTAATTATAGAAGCTTAGACATTGTAAATGCAGAGAACACCTGGCTGCACCATGCTTTTTCCTCCCTGTTATCATGTAGCCCATGTCTGCTTGCAAGATTTCTCACTTCTGTCATTCTGAGTAGATTCAATAAGCTCCTTAGGGCTTCAGTGTGGGTAGTACATTCCCTTAGCTTGCTGGGAAGTTAGGAGCTGAGAAGGTCCATTTTCCCACAACCAAATACAAGTGTTTCTTGTCTTAGGTGGTGACTGAGAAGGTTCCATGGACCGGCAACCTTGTGGGTGTCAGCTCCCTTGGACTTGGAGGAGCAAATGCCCACATCATACTACAGAGGAATCAAAAACAAAAAGTGAATGATGGGGCTCCTGCAGGCTCTGTTCCATTCATTATTGTTGCATCTGGACGTACAGAGGAGGCAGTTGATGTCATCCTGAAGAATGTAAGTATGTCTCTTCTCACAGTATCATGTTTTGTATAGCAAAATTCTGAAGCTTGCTAACTAGAATATCTAACTACATGGAGCAGAGTTCTTCTTTAGAAACTAATGAGATAGACAGTCAGCTGTTGTCATCATCGTCATTGCTTGCAATAATGAAAGGCAGAACAGCTACAACACAATAATAACACCACCATGGGGAACTGTGTATATGCAAAATATCAAATTAGAATATCCATCTCCACATACAGGGTGATTCACGAAGTTTTAAGGAGGGCATTCCTGAGGTAATTTGGAACAAAAAATTTGAATATACTAATGGTATCCAACTCATAATTAAAGAGATACAGTAATTTGAAAACTGGCGAAAAATCTTTTTTTCTTCGAATTTCAGTCAAAACAAAGTATAAATACAATACAAACACTTTTTAAATCGTTAATGTTTTAGGAAAGAAGCATTCTAAAACCATTTTTTTTTAATTTCTTAATTTTGCATTGTGCAACATTTTTCATCGATTTTATGTTACAAAATTACATTATTTTCAGCATCCCATTCTGTAAACATACCAATGGTTGCATATAACACCCTTCTATCAATCTGTTTACTTTAAACTAATGCTTTAGAAGACGACTGGATTTACATAAGATTTTTAAAATGTCTCCCTGCACGTCAACACAACGCGTTGCAAGCACATGAACCGCGCCGTAGCATTTTGCAGTTCCACACGTTTGTTCCTTATTGTCATCGCCACGTCCAGAATATGTTCAAGCAACGCTTCACGTGTTTGTACCTTTACCTGGTACACAATGTCCTTCATCCAACCCCAAATGCAATAATCAAACAGCGTTAGATCTGGCGACCTGGGAGGCCAGGCGTTACAGCCTCCGCGACAAATCCACCGCTGTGGAAAGTGCCGATCCAAGTGAGCTGCTACTGCGTGGGAGAAGTGAGGAGATGCCCCATCATACTGAAAATACATCTGGCGTCTTGTTGCCAGAGGATCATCTTCAAGTAACTGTGGTAATTCTTCTAAGAAGTGGAGGTAAATCTCACGAGTTAAACGGCCAGGATACCTCAAGGCAGAGGTTTTTAAACATCACCCCACAAACCTGCTTCAGCTGAAGAATGTTATTCGGCAGGAAGTAGCCCAAATTCCGGTGCACATGTTGGAACGTGCAGAAGGGAACTTCAGAAAACGGTTGCATCAGTGCATAGAGAACGGTGGCCACCACCTTCAAGATATTTTGTTTAAAACTACATGATTTAAAACTTTAAAGTATGTTCTTTCATTAGCTAAACATAAATTTTGTCTATCAGCAATAATTTTTCTTTTATTCGCCTTCAAAACAAGGAAGTTTCTGTACCCCACTCTGTATTAGAATATATACCATATATGTACATTTGATAAGCATTCCAGCATGGAAGAAATAATCGTATTAAAACATTCAGCTTCAAATTCTATCTTATGTTGCTTAATTTTCAACATAAAAACGAGGACGAACTTAAAAGAGTAATGATGAGTTCACAGTGTTAATAAAGATTGAAAATACATTTTAAAACAATTAGTAGATTTTCCGTGACATGATACATTTTAGGTTGTCTTTTGACTTTAGGTCATTTTCATGGATTTTTCAGTCATTTTTAAAATATTTTAGGTCATCAAAAGCTGGGCCCTAATCAGTACATTACATAATCTAGCATATTGACCCATTGCTAAATAATGACTCTGTAATCAATGCCTTTTGATAAGCAGCAGCCTAACACACATCGATGGACTAACTGTGAAACAGTGTTCTCTATGCGGTCTGTGCGACAGCTGCATAACACACCAATAGAAGAACTGTTGGAAGCGCTGTTTGCAATGCTATACATGCAGAGTTATTATAAGAATTTTAGTGTTTAATTGGTTGTCAGACCATTGCCATCCATTAAGGACATGAACATGGAAACTGAGGAAGCTACAGCATTCAAAGCCATTACCAGTGGCAACTGGCGAAGATACAGCAGGCTGAGATGGCTTAGTATATGCTGTAGTGAAATGTAGAATGCGTGAGTTAGTGACAGTGCTATAGTTACTTGTAGTTACTATTTGTAAGTGTTCAGTAAATCCAATTACCTGTCCATACCCTGTCTGTAGCCACTCATACACATGACTATATATTCTGAAAGTACTCATTTCTAATCCTTCAGCAATCATGCTATCCTCTGGTCTGTCACAGTGTAAATTTTGCTACAAGATGTTGATAAGAATGATAAGCCTCAATAATTATTAGAGCTCACTGTATCACTCTTTTTCATAAATAAGAAAAAAATATTTTCTGTCCATGGATGTGTAGATCTGACATGATTATATTTAGGATCCTGTTTGATCATTTTGTAATCAGTTGAAAATTTTGGTAGTCACACAATTTTTTGCCACTGTACATACCCACAGTTTGAGAGCCATCCAGTCAATGCAGAATTCGTGCACCTGATGCATGATCTCCAGTCAACAGAAATTGTTGGCCACAAGTACCGTGGGTACACACTTCTCACACAGGATGGCAGTAACCAGAGGAGTATTAAAGTGAGTATGCAATTAAATATGGTGAATTCGTTGAGCTGTGCCTAGTATCAGTATATTCTATGAAACAGCTTGTTGCCTTACTACGCATCCTGTTTTGGTACCAGTTCCTTTCCTACTGGTCAACTTGTAGCTCATACCTCCACTCCCTTATGCACCAAGGCCCAGCCTACTGTTCAACATGCTGTTCATATGTTATGTATGTGCGGGACTAAGCAGCTGAATCACTTTGAGCTCCAGCACGTGCCATATAACGTGAGGTGGTTAAGACAGTGGTTTCAGAATGGAAGACCAGGAGGTAAATGTCTGAATTCCATACGTATATTTAGCGTGTCTTCTCTTAAATTTAATTTGGCTACACTCACCTCTGCTGGTTCCACCACAGTTTGGCTGTTTTATCTTGTATCCCTACCCCACCGGTTTTCCTGATGCAGTGATTGTATAGTATATTCTTTTGACATTTATTTGCTGTCTTCAGGCCTTGGCCTTGGCATTCTATGTCTGTGTATTAAACCACACAAAGAGCAATGAAATATTGTAAAATATATTTTTGTCTCTTGTGTGTGTATCATCTGATTGTATTCTTTTCACTTATTTATTACACACCATGCCTTTCGTCTCATTCACAATAAGTAATTCAGAAGGAACACAGGAAGCTGCATCTAGAATTATTTTTAATATTAATCTACTTCTCAAAATGGGGCACATGGTAGCATAGTTGGTTGATGCACTATGCTACAAGCCAGAAGGTCATGGGATTGAATCCCAATGAGGTGGATTTTTTCAATTTACCTAATTCTTCCAGCCGCACTATGTCCCTGGGGTCGACTCAGCCACTAACAGAAATGAGTACCAGGAATATTCTTGGGCATATAGGGCATCCGGTGCATAAGGCTGACAACCTTACCATCATCTATGAGCCGATTGTCTAGAAAATGTGGGAACCTCAACATCTCACAGCCGTATGGGCCTCCATGGCCTGTTACAGGGATACGTTTACTTACTTACTTACTTTTACTTCTCAAAATTCTTGGAAGCAAGGCTTATACCAGTAATGATATATTAGGTACCTGATTTTTAATTAGTTAAGCATACAACAGTGTTGGATAGAATTAAAATTGGAATATTAAAGAACAATTTGGAACTTTAAGTTGGTTAATATAGTTCTTTTGTCTTTATGCTATGTGACTGTGGTCAGTTTTGCCGATGTTTCATAGGTACACGCTTGTGACTTCGACCCTAAAATGGAGGAAACTTGTACCTATGAAATACAGGTAACACTGCTGACATCCTCGCAATGTAAAAACCCAATAGCTAAATCAGCATCAGCAGTGAAACTTAGTAACTTTTTGGTACAGATAGAAAAGAAATCACTACAATTGTTTTTTCATGTAAAAGTAATTGGTAGAACAATGATTCACAAAAGGGCATTAGAATTAATGCTTAGACCAAGGTACCTGTGGAATGACCCTGAACAAGATGGTTGAGCCATTTATTAGATGACATCATGGAAGGAAGAGCTGGCAGAAAATTGAAAGGAACACATTGTAGAGTGACTGAATAGATTGGAGACATTTTGCATTTTATTCATCAACCCACATTAAACTGAAAAAAGAAATACATAAATGCTAGAACAATGGCAAGAATAAGGCAGAGGATAACAAGAAACCAAAACTCATACTCTTGGAAGTGGCCATTACAGGAGCCACAGTACTTTCAATCTTCTCCTTACTCTGATGCTTAGGGCCACATGCTCCAACACTCCAATGTATGTGCCAATTTTTGCACACTTACTCTTGTACCCTGAAGATGGAGACAGCATGTTCCCCTGAAATGTCAGAAAAATACTACTGATTCTGGACTACATTTCAGTGCATTCCAGTACTGTTGCTATGCAACAATCATGAGAAAGAACATACGTTGCTTCGTAGCGGCCAGTAAACACATCAACAATATCTGGGCTATTGCTAGGCAACTGCCCATATCAGCAATAGAAAAACCGTTTGAAGCAGTGTTTTCTCTTTGTTCCACCCTGAGTCTATATAATGAGGACCCCAGGCCAGCTGAGTGAGTTCAGTTGCGGAATATTCGCCTGTCAGTGACGATGTGAGCATGGGAAGCTGAAGAAACCATTGTGAGGGAACAGCTGTTTGAAATATTACAGGCTAGAGAAGACTTAATGTGTAGGGTCTTGTAGAGTGTGTAGATCAGGAATAGTGCTATAATTACTTGTAGTTCTCTGTTGTGTGTACTAATTATCAATAAATCCAATCTCCCAATCCATACCCCATCTATAGTCACACACATAAATACAAGACAGTATTCTTCATAGTCACAGATATGAGACCTGAACTCTCACATTATATTCCATTCGTTTACATACACAGTGTAAGTCATTTGTACCTTCATTAGTGATAATTCTTATTATCATGAAGAACTTAACAAATAACCGAATCAGATCATTCATGACCCAGTAATTACACAGGCCTACAAAAAAAATTTTTTTTTTGGTGTCTAGGATTTTAGAACTAATTTTAGTTATATTTAAGGCGCTGAATCTAAATATAAAATCAGTTTTTCTCTACCAGCTCTACTTTTTTAGATCAGCGTTTTTGTAACGTGCAGTTCTACACAAAATGTGCAGTTCTAATTGTATTTTGTGCAGTTCTAAATCTCATATGCAAG